GGTCTGGCCTGCCCGTGGAAAAGCAAGCATAAGGAAATCTGTATCGATCCACGACCAGGGAGTAATTCCAGAGTCTCTTTTGCAACTTACCTTGCAACGACCTTCCAAGTAATTCCAAGTGGCACAACAGGGTCCTTTCTCTGCAACCCCTAGCTGCCTGTGGACTCCGTTGGAGCAAATCTGAGTTCAGCGCTCAGGCCATTGCCCTGCTAATTTGTGTGGAAGGTCCGGGATTGCGCTGCGATGACACTTGGCAAACTGGCTCGCAAGGTAAAACGCAGAAGCTTTCCGTTGCACGACCACCTTTCCCTAAAACTCACACAGCTGGCACTGCAACAAGCACTTAGCACGCTGATCCTTGTTTGCCTCTCAGTGCAGAATGTGTGGCAATAATCAAACTGGACACAGGTTCAGGAGGCGCGTCAGAAGGTTTCACATCTTTATGCAGGCTTGCGCTGCAGGATGGGACGAATGGCAAGTGCGTCAGGGCTTGCGCTTCCAGAAGTTCGCGTGAAGGCAAAGTTGGTGCGTGTGGCGCTCTGGGCACGCGTTGCTCTTCCTGGAACATGTTTTGCAACATCCAACATGGTGAGCTCTAATCCCTGCTCACCTAGCTTTGCAGGGGCAGACCCTGTTACTGAGACAACCCGCCCAAAGAAGAGGATGAGGACTTCGGCACGCTTGTCGGTTTGATGTCTCTTGCCTTTCACGCCCACCGTCTTTCGCGCCGTGTTCAACTGAATGGCGACTCCGGTGTTCTGCTTGTCCATTGCCTGTGTGCGTTCATGCAGTTGTGCCGCGGAGGTGGTCATGTTCGCAAACTTGAGCCCTACTCCTGTTTTCCAGCCTTTGGGGATTGTCAGCATCTTTTGGCCAAATTACTTCAGTGCTTCATTGAAGCCATGGAAGTGGTTTTCGGCTGATGCATGTTGGTCTGTAGGTGGTCCTTGAGCTGCTGGACTTGCTTGGTCAACTCCTCTTTGTTGGCAGTGCCTGGTATTTTTTGCTTTTCGCCTTGTCGTACCAGAATGGTCGCTGTGATGAGGACACGAGATGTTCTGTGACCCCCTCAGAGATCTGCTCGATCTGTGACTGCCTTGAAGAGCTTGGTCTTTGGCGTGTCTGCGTCCGGGCCCTGTGGCGGCGATGGAGGTGGCGTGGAAGCGCGGTAGGAGGTCACGCGCGACCTTCTGGGCGAGTTCCTCTTCAGCCCCAAGATGTTGGCCTTTTTCGGGACCGCGATGCCCTTTGCGGTGAGTTCCTCGCCCCACCGTGGGTACCTTGGGAGTGAGTGGGATCTACTACTTGTGCGCCACTGTGAGGAACAGCATTGCCTATATATAGAGCCTGTTCTTCATACTACTGTGCCCTGGCTTGAAAGCATCTTGGCCTTATTTCCACCCGTTGCCAAGCTGAGTTCCTTGCACTTCTCCTTTGAGCTCCTTGTGAGTGCAATCATAATAATCATCACCGTACTCCTTTCCATCAAGCACAAACTTAGCACCTGGCAGAGGAAGGGGTTCACTCGTGCAAGGTTCTGGCGCTGGTGGGTGGTGGTGTTGAGGGCGCGGAAGAAAAGACCCCCGCAGGTCCTTTCGCGCGTACCTGGGCCTGTCGGTATTCAGACAACTTGGTGGGGTCTTCAAACTTGGTCTGCATTTGGTGGAGGTGGTTGCGTCCACTCCTCATTCTCTCGGCTTCACCACTGCCTGGAGGCCCCCTGAAAAGTTCAATGTTCCCAAGCAGTTGCGGAATGAACTTCTCATTGAAACATGATCGAGAGGCAGAAAGCTCTGGAAATGGATTCTCAAACTCAAGATAATACTGGTTCAATCTGCGCCTAGGCTCCGTCTTCCATCATTGCCAAAGTGGCCAGTGATCAACTCAAATCCAGAGGCTCTCAATGATGGACTACACGTCACCTATCACAAAGTTGCCTGCGAACACACGCGCGTCTTGCCCATTGCCTGCTGCTGGTGAAGCCAACCCTAAGCGCCCTCTAGGCGCCACACAAACAGAGCCCGGGACCACCAACCAGAGAAACAGGAGCTCCCTGATGGCGAAGTCCAATCACGTCGCATAATCTCGGCCACATCGAGGTCGTTGATTCTTCGACTACTTCCACATTCACTCAAAGCTTGGTTCATCGCTGCAAATCTGAATGTCCATGCAGTCATGCTTCAATCCGTTGGAAACGCTACAAAAATTACAAATGTGGATCATCGTAATACCAGTGCAAATCCATGCCGTCACTATTGCCCACATCACCATGCTGCAACTGCTGCACATGGAAACTGCTGAACTCATCTCGCACGCACTCATCCGGGCATGGGCCCAAGAAAAAGACATCCGTCAGAACCTGCTGCCAAGGAAAGAGAAATACCATACGAGTCAATGGCACACATGCGGACATGCGGAAGACCGTTCATGTGCGACGCCGTGCTCGCTGCTGTAGGAGCACCTGCGCGCAAGTGCAATCTCCGACTGCTCATGCCATGAACCATGAGTTTCGCAGTGCTCAAGATCTCCATTCGAGCAAGTGGCCATGAACACATTGTGACTGCACAGAGCTGTTGCACACAACTCGTCACCCTCAGACATGTCACAAACAACACTCGGAACAGGGCTTCGAACATCCAAAGTCAACATATTGCGTTGCTTCAACATTGCGAGCCTTGTTTCCACATGCGCTTGCTTCTTCCTGCATCTTCTTGCATGTGTCGCAGTAATAACAATTGCAGACAGAGCCCTTGCCTTTTGAGTGTTAATATGAGTTGCTCTGATTGCGTTGGTCACGCTGCTTGCCTTTACCCCTGCCTTTGTCACCTTTGCCCTTTCTTCACCCTGCCCTTGCCTTCGCCTTCACCTTCTCCCTTGTAGCCTTCTTTGCCGCCTTTGTTGTCGCCTTTGTTTTGTCCAACATCCATAGGCGAAAGACCACCATCATCCTGATTCAAAACAAGAGGAAAACAGCTCGAATACTCAGTTTTCAAACATTCGTGTCGCAAAATCCAAGCACGAAACTCTTGGCACGTGGTGGTTTACCGAAAGCGAATCTGCATCTGCGACCGACGGATTTGTAGTGCATGCAAGAACAGTCGACAAGGCAAGATCTTTCCCGGCCCCGCTCGTGCAACCTGTCCATCTCTTCTTCGCGCTGAACCAGCTGCAGGATCTTTTCAGCGGAAAACGGACTGAATATGATTCAAACCTGCCGCGGGTCTGCTCAAAGAGCTTGATCAAAAGAGCTACCAGAGTTGAACACAACTTCATGGACCGTCTTCTACTATCGTCAGTCATTTTCGTCACCTTGATCTCGGTAGTGGGATTGTCACGAACCAAATCAGAGTAACTCTCATCAACCAAGCACAACCCGCTTGTCATGGAGAAACGAAAGTCCTGCCAACTTTGGAGTTCTTCGTCACGAGTTGTTGGTCACCAGATGTCAGGCGATCTCACATGTCGCCAAAATGTTTTTATATCACTGCCTTGCACCGAGATGTGACTGCTTCTGCTGCCTGAACTGCATGCGCTGTCAGCTCAAGGCCGACTCCAGTGTTTTGCTCCACGCGAGCATGTAGCTGCTGCGCTTCGCCTGCGGTTGCTCCAACCATCCGAGACAACTGTCGCACTTGCTGCCCCATACGCATCCACGAGTGCCTGCATCTGCTGCTGCACCTGATGAAGTGTTGGGGTCTGCTCTGCCGCCGTGTATAAGCCACCAACGGTCAATAGACCAACAAGTGCTCCGCTACCACGAAAGAAAGGCGGCCGAAGTGCACCTATTTTCACACTACTCGCAGCCTGTAGCGACGGCGGTATGTGTGTGTGCGTGTGTGTGCAACCACACACTCGTCAACCCTACATCAGGCTCTTCAAGATGCAATAAAAACGCTATAAATTAAACATCATGCGGAGGTAACAATGCCTAACCGGTTTCCACCATGTTTGCTTTCTTCAACCTAACCGCCCCCACTAACTCAAGAGCATTGTCATGTGCTGCCAAATCAGCTTATCAAAATGTAGCGTCTGCCCTCAGGCTAGATAGGATTTCAAAATGCTGCACGCATGGTCGTCATGTACAACCCGAAACCAACCCTCAACTAACCCTAACCAACCCTAAAACAACCCGTCAATCAACTCTAGACCAATCCTAAACCAACCCTACAACCCTACACCAACCCTAAACCAATTCTGAAGCAACCCTAGAACAACCCTAAGCCAACATCCCGTCTGGAATTCGAGCAACCGGGCAACCGCAACAACGGGAAAACAAGAAAACAAGAAAACCGTTTTCGCGTTTTCGCTGCGCCGGTAATTTCGACAGTCTTCGTGCTTTGCCGGCCTTCCCGTTTTGGTCGGTTTTTGCGTATTAGCAGCTTTTGTGTTCGTGGTTGTTCTGTTTTCGCGCTTTCGCGCCCTCGCGCCGTTTTTGCGCTGTCACGTTTGGTCTTTTTGCGATTTGCCGTTTCCGTGTTTTCCAGCAAGCGTGTGCGTGTGTGTGTGTGAGGTTGGTTTAGATTTGGTTGAGGGTTGGGGTTAGTTTAAGGTTGGTTCCGGGTTGGTTTAGGCTTGGCTCAGGGTTGCCAGGGGTCGGTTTAAGGTTGGTCTCAGGTTTGTTCAGGGTCGGTTCTCAGTCAGGCTTGGCTTTGGGTTTCACAGGGTTTAGGGTGGGTTTCGGGTTGGTTTCGGGTGAGGGTTTTGTTGTTTCGGCGGGTTTGGGGGGTTTGCGGTCGGTTTTGGGTAGGTTTGGTGGGGGTCGGGTTGGGTTAGGGTTTTGTGCAGGGTTGGTTTGGTCGGTCTGGGTTGGTCGGCTTAGGGTTGGTTTCGGGTTGTGTTTTCTAACGTCTTAGGGTTGGAGCGACAACGCGCATTTCGGCACTTCAAAAGAAGGCGTGCTACTAAACCAGAACCAGCAAGCTCCCTAAACTAAGCCAATCCCAGTTGCCCATTTGCTCAGTGACCCGAACGCTTGAGAAGGCAAGCAAGCCCGAAAGAGCCTTCTGGGCTGCGGTAGTACCAGGCCACCAGCTCCTCGAGGTGCGCCTGGCTGGAGCCCAAGGCTGCGTAAGCCATGAGCTTCCCGGCCCAGGTGAGGTCGTCGATCCTGAGAACCCATGTGGGATAAGCGGTGCGCTCATAGCGGCCCATCCAAAAAGCAAACTAAAACAAATTTTGCAGACCCTGAGCTGGCCTGTCTTTATGGAGGTTGAAAAGGCCCTGCCCTTTAGAATGTTGGTTTTGGGTTGGGTTTTGGGCTGGTTGTGTTTTACACAAACTAGATTAGTTGTACGGGCTTCTCTGGTTTGAGCGGCAGCAACTGCGGCTGCTAGAGCGGTGGCTACCAGGCACGCTTATGGGTGTCAAACGCACTCAGATTCTTGCGACATGCTTGACTTGAAGCCACATGTCTCCCAACATGTTTCAGTTTCAAAACCAAAATGTTCAGCAAGCAGTGTGTTGAAAAAAGCAAACCATCATAGTCATAGTCATTTGCAACACTCTGCATTTCTGCATTTTGGCCCTGGGTGTGCGCTAGAACCACAAGCCCCTCTAGTTCCCAAATCTTCCCAAACACAAATTCGACCGAGGCGGACATTCAGGAACTATGTTCAACCAGTCACTGAATCTCCTGGCTGGCGGGAGTGGTTGGGGAAGTGCTTTAACTGTACACTCACGGGCGGCGAGTTTGGTTTGACTAGCTTCCTTCCCCGGAGAACTGCCTTCTTCCATGCATCTTCTGGGGTATCACCTTGGCGTCGGTAGTTGGAGGCGGCAGGATGCAAAGTTGCCAATTCTGCTTGCGGCAAGTTCTCAGTTGACAAACCAGAAATGGACTAAATAAAACACCCACAATCAGAATTGCAAAGCATCTGGTCGCGGCAGCAAGGTTCATCGTGGGACTCGGTTGGGCTGACTTGTTTCACGAGCTTCACCCAGTTCTGCACCAGAGCGCTCACGCACGAGCTTTGAGAACCGCTCTGCAACATAAGGGCGCCGCTGTAAGTTGAGCTGATGACCTGTCGCCCCGCACGAACTTGTCCAAGACATCTCGTAGGAAGGGGTCGGCTGTTTTGCAGCGGGAAGCTATCTTGCACAGTGTTCAAAAACACCCAACTGCAGGTTTCCATTGAGTAACTCTATGCCCCTGCCTCTGGTCACACGCGAAAAATCGTTTGCTCGTACTTGGAGACTCGGAAATATGTCCTCTAGCAGCTCCCCGGCAACTAGCTCATCCCAAGCATCAGGGCAAAGTTGCTCCACTTTGGCAGCCCGGAACTCTAAAGCTTTTTGTCAATCAGAAAAATTCATACCAAGTTTTAATAAGGCGTATGAATCAGCAACCAACGATGTGCTACACAATCATGCTCATGGCTGTTCAGGAAATTCATGGTCAGGAATAAATAGGCTCTGCAAGATAGTCTGGGTTGCATCCTGCACCCCTGGAGTAGCACGCGCGCAAGGTTGCTAGGCAATGCTTCCGAGTGTCCTGCTTCAAGATTTTTGTCATGTCTTCAGGGTAACTGCGGTCATGCAGTGATTGAGCCCTGTTGCGAAGTGATGATGTCAGATCTCCGCAAGCTCACCAGCCTGTCAAAAAGTGTACGCATACTCAGCCAATTTGACGATTACACAGGTGCCTTCTTGGTTGGTTTTGAGACTTCTCTTCTTCACACAGTAGATGATGTGGTTGAAGGCAGCAGCGTGGGCACCATGGCCTGCGACCATGGTGTAATTCTGCTCCTCTTGGTCATGCGTTTCACATCGCATCAAAAACCAGCAGTTTGCTGCGCAAGCTGCTGTGTCCAAGACTCTTGACATGGCGCCCGCTCCTCTTGTTGGCTTGCTCCGCTCTTGTCTGATGTCCAGCCCGCGCAGCCAGAGAAAATGGCTGGCCAAGTTCCGGCAGATGTGGGACGGCCTTGCAGGGCGACCTCAAGCGCAGCATTCCTTTTCTGCCCGCCCAGCCTTGAAAAGCAAGCGGCAAGTGGTTAGTCCAATCATAAGGTCACGCGTGCTTGTCACTCGTTGAAGCACTGTTTGGCCAAACGATGGGCTCGGGATGATTTCTCGGCAAACTGATTTGTTTCCTCAGCCACCTGGGATTCAGCATGCTACGCAATCAGACACATTTATCACATGAGCCTGGCTTGTCAAATTTGAATCCACGACGACAAGTATAATACCAAGGCGCCGTCCCCAAGTCCAACGGCTGCGTTCGTGCCAGCGTTGCAGATCGCAGCGCGCACTGGGCCGCACGGGCCTGGGAAGACTCCGCCACATCTGCCGTCGCTTAGCTCCCTGTTATGGCTGCTGAATGGTTGCGCTCCGCATCTCACTGTGGGAAAAACAAAGCCTGTTTTTTTCAAGGATGATGGGCAACTGGTTTTGTGTGTCGGTTCGCATCAGTTTACACTTTAAGGTTTGACATCCCTCATCATGATGTTCTTTCTAGGTTGCCAAGTCGTTAGGTTATCATGGGATGACTGAAATTTATGCCCTCTACAAGCCAAATGCTTCGACAATTTGCATGACCAGGTCGTTATTGTTCTGAGGCTTCAGCCCAATGCTAGTCGAGCACACACGCACGCACCCTCAAGGCTTTTTCCAAGCTCGGCGACGCCTACTCCCAACTCGCCTACTCCGCTCGCAAACGCAGGGTGCAGCTGATGAGGCGCGCGAGCCACATCGCAATCTAAATACGGGTTGGCGTCCAGCAATATGTTTATTTTTGGCGCATCTTTCAGCAAAGCCGCCGAAGTTCAAGCAGAAAGTGCCGACGGCGGCTGCGCCAGGGCCAAAGACCAAAGCCCAAGAGCATTGCGCGCCGGCCAAAGCCCAAGATGATGGGCCGACCAAGCCGAGGACGGGTGGCCTACAAGAGTTTCAATGAGATGAACTAAAGGCAACAATCGCAAACCCATAAGAAGTGACCCCGACCTGCGCCTGCAAGACTGCCCACATCGAACCGCACCTCCTCGAGGAGCTCATCGACATCGGCCAAGCCCCGTTCCACGCCAGGCCCATCATCCGCCACCATCAAACCTTGGCCGGGCTCTCGGTCGATCAGCCGTTGCTGGCTAACGCGTAGCACGGTCTTTTTTGTTACCTATGGCCAAAATGTATCAATGATGTTGGTGGAGAAAGATTTTTAATCGAGACATCGCAGCCGATCTGAGTTGAGCCACAGACTCGAACGACTTGATAGCGGCTCAAGTTGCTTCGCGGCTCAAGCTTCTTCGCGGCTCAAGCGTCGCCGGTGGTGGTCGGAACGCCTCCTGGACGCCGAAAGAGCGCTTGACCACCAATCAGGAGGTGCTACCGAAACGTGACGGCGCCTCTTGTTGTGTCCTGTTTCGTTCTTTAGCCAAGGGTCATTAGCCTGATTCTTTTGGACAAGCGCTGGCGGGAACTTGCAAAGTCAGGAAGCCCAGGCCGAAGACGAAGCCCTCGGTGCTAGACTGTAAACTCCTAGACTCAATCAATGAAGTTGAACTGGGAATTCATGCGTGCTTCTTTTGCCGAGGATCCCGGACGCAGCTGAATGCTCAGGCTGAGGACGAGGATGGTGAGTGTGATGATGATGATGATGATGATGATGACGCCAGCCACTAGCCATTGATTAGCCGTGTGATATTATTCTCAAAAAAGCCTAGGCCAGCCCTTCCTGCCGCATCGGGCCCACTTTGCATCAACCGCGACATGGTCATAGGACCTGGGTACTGAGGTTGGAGAGGACGTCTTCGCCCGGGAAGAGCCGCAAACAAGAAAGTTAACATTGGTTGAAACACAACGAACATTGGTTGACCCCTTCAATATTCACTTCAGCTTAAGTGACATCCGCCATTCATGCTTCCGACTTCTGGAAGGTGGCATCCTCGATCGCGCACATGGGCTAACAGCCTGAAAGGTTGGCAAGATCCTCGAAAAGGAAACATGGATACTAGGGTTTTGAACATGGATCGCACCAACCGACATAAATACTAACTGCATCCTAGATTCGCTCATCATCATGAGGCGGAGAACGCGCAGCTTTTGAGCCATCGCCTTGAAGGGGTGTCCGTCATGGGTCACATCAGGACAAAGACAACTAGCTTCAGGGCGTGTGACTAGTCATCCAACCAAGATAGCAAGCCGGATCAGGCCATTGGTGCGTGGGACATGTGGATGGCGTAATAAACACATTTCAGCCACCAAAAGCAGGAATGCCCCCGCGGTCAAAGCCGCTTGTTTGACGGGGCTGATATGGGGTCTGGGACGGTGCCCACATGGGCCATGACAAGTTCATACAAGATACCATCATGAGCTCCATCAGCTCCAGCCGCATCGGGCCGATTTGGCTGATTGACAATAAGAACACACCGGCAGACCCAAAAGGAAATCCAAGACAAGGTAAGCCCCGCCACGCCTCATGTGAGGAAGCGCTACCTTTAAGATTGCTGCTGGGAGGTAGAGATTGGAAACATCAAAGCAATTATTTAGTGAATATTAGCAAATGAAATAATGAATGAGAATAGTGAATTAAAACCATTGCGAATGGAAATAGTGAATGGGAATAGTGAATGGACATACGCCTACATCGCGAGGTGACTAGGCCCAGGTGAGTTGCGATAAAGCTTAGGCCCTTAGGCTTAGCAAAGCAAAGCGAAACAATGTTTATATGCTAAAGGGAAGCCCTCGACTCGATTGGCCCCAAATCTGCCCAACGCAGCGCCCGCAATTTCCATAAGTGCCAAGTCACTAATTTTCACTAATTCCGTTCATTATTTTGTTCACTAGTTGTTTGCTCAAGATTGCAGTCTATTCAAGAGGAAAAAGCATAAATCACTAACCTGCATTAAATTTCACTAACTTTCACCAAACTTCACTAAATTTCATTAAATGTAACTAAATTTCGAAAGCCCAAATTGTGAAATTTAGCGAAATTTAATGAAATTTAATGAAATTTAACAAACTTCGCTAAATTTCGCTAAATTTCACTAAATTTCACCAAGTTTCATTAATTTGATTCAGCGAAAATTAATGACATGTAATGAATTTAAAATATTGAAAACAAATGAATTTTAGAGGAATCGAAATCGTGAAAACTAATCAATTGTAGAGGTT